ATAGTTGTCATAAGGAACCCCCCAAAATAGCATTGGTAATTATTTAGGCCACTACATTAAGAGTGCATGAAGGAAGGTTTGGCTTGCACAGGGTTCTTGCAGCTTTGCAATGGGCTACTGCCGGGTGTGTACCCGGGGTTTGGGGTTTCTGCTGCGTGGCTCATGCGGAGTCTCAGATGCTGCAGTGTGCCCAGGGGCCTCCGATTTCCTGAATAAATACCCTAAACCCTAAACCCTAAAACCCTAAAACCCTAAATAGGGTTTAGGGTTTAGGGTTTATATTATAAAATATCAAAAACAGCAAGCTCTTATCCCTGCTGGAAGTATTAGAGGACTTAGTAAGTGGATCAAAGTTAGCGCTGCAAGTAGTAGAACCACCTGAAGGCCCTGCAACCCTACCGACGCAACCATATCTCTAAACCCTACAACCCTAAACCCGAAGCCCTAAGCCCCGAAGCGCTCAAGCACTACATCTCTAAACCCTACAAGCCCTGAAGCCACCCTCATAAACACACCCACGCACACTAAGTAGGCTCGGTGTGGTTTCGGATGGGACTTCGGGTTTTGGAGTGTAGGATCTTTCAGGTCAAATGTTTAGGATTTTTGGGGGTTCAGGATTTAGGGTAGGGTTTAGGGTTTAGGGTAATGTAGGGAGGTAGCTATGGGAACTTCTCGTCTTTCCTCTTTGAAGCATCTACTTTTTGGATCCTCCCGGGACCGGGATCGAAGCCGCCCTGGAGTTCTCTTAGTTAGGGTTTTGGGTTTTTTGGGTTCCTTTTAGGGCCCTTGTTGTAAGGGTGACGTACTATTTGGTGGACCTAAATCGGGACCCGAATTTGGAGAACTACCCAGTTAAGAACGGGATCCTTCTCGAGGGGTTGAGTCTAACAAAGGATGTCCATTCTGGGGTGCAGGTTGGTGTCTCCTATTTAAACTAAACTAACAACCCTGACCCCAAAAGCTACAACTGAACCCTGCTGCCTGAAAAAGCCACCCGAAGCATCCTGCACCCCACCCTGAAGCCACCCCACAATCCTATACCCCTAACCCCCGAAGTTCACTTGCCAAGTGGCAGCAAGCTCTTTCTGAGCTCGGAGAGCTTGTAGAGGATCGAAGTCCTGTGTTAGGGTTTAGGGTTTTTAGGGTTTAAGGTGTGGGGTTTGCGGTTTGGGTTTAGGGTTTTGGGTTTTAGGTTTGGGGTTTTGGGCTTAGGGTTTGGGGTTTAGGGTTCCTTCTGATTGTTTTCGGGCTTTCGCAGTTCTCCCAAAAACAACCAAAGCACAGAACCCCCTCCGAAACCCCTAAACCCTCTAGCCCAAAGACCTTAACACCCTTATAGGACTCTTCTGGAATACGGTGTCCTTTACTCTGCAAACCTAGGAGCCCTTCAAGGGGACCCTATTTTACAACCCTGATGGGGAACCTAAACCCTAAAAACCCTAAAAACCCTAAAAACCCTAAAAGCCCTAAAACCCCTTAAAAGAAACTAAAAACAAAAAAACTAAAACCCTAAAAGCCCTAAAAACTCTAACCCTGATCCTCCGGTCCTAAACCTTTAAGACTGTATTCTGCAAGCCCTGGTGCCCGGCCTCTCGGGTTTCAACACAAAGGAGCCGGACATGATCCCTTGGTTCACGATGGGCCCCACGAGCCTTGGGAGAGGGGAAGCTTCTTCAGCTTTAGACGGTTTAGGGTTTAGGGTTTAGGGTTTGGGGTTGAGGGTTGAGGGTTTAGGGTTTAGGGTTTCGGCGTCCTTCCAGCAGGGTTCTATGATATCGGGGCCGTACTAGTGAGAATTCGGTTTTGTGGGTGTTTTGTAGGTGTGTTGCAGGGTTCTATAGCCCACCAGCCTCGGATGAGGCTTTGCACCGCTTCTTCTTTTTGTGGACTTCGGGTTTAGGGTTAAGGGTCCAGGGATTTAGGGTTTAGGGAATAGGGTGTAGGGAGAAGGGTCTAGGGTTTAGGATTTTGTGTTTAGGTTATTGCGTTTATTTGGGTTTGTGGTGTTCTATGGGGCTCCATGGGGCTTCAATAAGGTTCAGATTTCGGATCTTAGATATACGTTTTTGTGTTGGCGGTGCTTGAGGATTTAGAGTTGAGGGCCGCCTTTTCTTCTGAACGGAACTTCGGGTTTAGGGTTTACTGTACAGTGCTTGCGGTAGAGCTTTTCATGCTCGTGATCAGGATTCCATGTGCTCTACGCGTGGGCCTTACGCGGCATTGCAAAGCTGTAAACTCTGGGGATGTAAAGAGTGCACGGGAAGTTCTCTAAATGAGGGTCCCTTTGTCAAGTCCCCAAAATGGTACGGCACTCTTCTTTAACAAGACCCCTAAACGGCACCCTAATTTAGGGAACTACCTCCATAGGCTTCTGTTCAGAGAGCATAGGTGTTGGAGACTTGGGAACTAAACCCTAAACCCTAAACCCTGAACCCTAAAACCCTAAACCCCAAAGCCCTAAACCCTAAACGGTACTTTAGGTGCCCTAAACCCTGGCTCAATATTGAAGCAGGCTCCTCTTCAGAGATGAGCCGCAAGACATCCACTACAACAAAACCACCCTAAATTTTTAGGGTTTAGGGCTTTGTTGTTTAGGGTTTAGGGTTTAGGATTCCCTGAACCCTGAAAAGCTACATTCCGAACCATTCCACCAAAGGGACGCAACCTGTGCAACCATACCTACCAAAGCACCACCCACCCTTACGAAAACCCACCCCTGAAGACTAAACCTCCACGGTCATAGTTGACTTTCTCCAAACGACCTCCCAAAACCGTAAACCCTGAAAGCTTGCAACTTCGACGCTGTTGGATCTTCAGGCCACCCCCGTCGCAGCTCACTTGGCCTTCCGAAGTCACTTCGAAGAGCGCCTGCCGAGATTTGAGGCTTGTTCTGGGAGGCTGCACAAAGCTTCTGTAGGGATGGAAAATTAAGAGTCCTTTGTTGGTTAGGGCCTACGTCAACCTTTCGATGTTTTCTTAAATTCCGATTTGAAGCTGAAGGGTGTAGAGCTTTTCGGTTCTAGACGGCAAAAGAACCTACCGCTTCAAGGACTTATATACGGAAATTTTAATAAGGAGTCCTACACCGGCAGGTTCTGTAGGGTCCAGCTATAGGCTTTGACGTCCTAAGGTTTTGGGCTTTGGGTTTAGGGTTGAAGTTTTGGCTTCTAAAGCCGTGAAGTCTTTTAGCTTGGCGGTTTAAGGTTTAAGACAGGCCTACAATTCTACGCTCTCGAGCTTTGGGTTTGAAGGTTTGGGTTTGGCGCTTAGGTGTGCCTAAACCCTAAAACCCTAAACCCCAAAACCCTAAACCCTAAAACCCTAAACCCAAAAACCCTAAAACCCTAAAACCCTAAAACCTAAAACCCAAAATAGTGTTGCCAGGATTGCTTCTTCTGGAGTTTCGGGTGGAAGGCTGCAGGTTCCGAGAACATCGTCGCGAGGGCATGCAAATCGCGGCCAGAGGCCGAGTTCGGTCTGTCTCAGTCCGTTTTGGGAGCTACTGCTCAGTCCTAGCTACGGCAGCTACAGCTACACTTGGGCTAGGGACCGGTCTGGGCACCAAACCTGTGAAGCAGCCTCTCCTGGTCGGGTCACTCGAAACAAGGCGGGTCACCCGCTAGGCGAAGGGTTTGCCCCATGCCTGGTCGGGCCTCCTCGAACAGGTCAGTCACCTGCTGGGCACCTTCCAACTGTCTCTTTCAGGAAGGCTCAGGGTGAGGTGCACAGCACCTCGCAGACCCAGAAAGCCTCCTCTCACTGTTCTCTCACGTGTGGTTGGTAGCCTCCAACCACTCTGGTCACCACATCCTGGAGCTCAAGCTGCTGGATCAACTTCTTTGGGGAAGTCTTCAAACAGCCTTTGGATATTCTCTGCCGGTCAGGCCTTTTGGGAGATCTTAGGCTGCGTGTTCTCCCCATGGTCTTTGCACCCCTCTTTGAGGATGGTCACAAAGGACCTCCACACGAACTGCGAGGGGTGAGTGCCCCGGGTGACCTGAGGACGATAATGCAAGCATACGAGCCCCAAAACTTGCACAGTCACGGCGGCGGCCAAGGTGGGCACCTTTTCCGCCTGGCTGTAGCAGTAGCACACAGGCACATTGATCCAGGACCATTCTCAAAAGCGTTGTCCCCAAAAACTGGATTCGGGTTGTGAGGTGTGGCATGTCACGACACCGCTTAACCTCACGCCCGAAATCAGCTGCATGGCCCACCTTCAGGGGCTCTTGGAGCCAGCGGCTTCTTCGGACTGAGCCTCCTTCATGGCACGCACTTCTTTCTTCAAGGCACGGAAGATCGGGATAAGCTCCTGGTTCGTGGTGTTGTTGTTCGAGCTGCTCACGGGCTCCTCCTTGGGGTTCTTTGGTGGTGAGGCCTCGCGCTGGTCGTAATCCTTGGGATCCAACGCCAGCCGTGAAGACATCGTCGGCATTCGGCTTGGTCGCTGTCATCTGCACAAGCTGCCAATGGACACCGCCATGGGTGTGGGTCTCCCGCACTGCCCAGCGAAGGTACTGCATGTCCATCTCGGCAATCTCCTTGAAGCTGCGGCCCTTGTGGCGGCCGAAATTGGCCACAGTCTCCTCGGTCCCGGCCGGCACGGTACAGCCAGCTTCGCAGATGCATCCTCATCTTTCCGTGGGAGGAGGCTCACACTCTTTGGTTTTCGGCGACCACCTTGAGGTCCTTGAGCGGGCCCTCACGACGCGGTCCATCAGGTCCGGCTCACCGTCGATCTTGCCCTTCATGTAGCCATGCTCGACGCGATTCTTCCTCACCAGGTGGCCCGGCTCCTCCACACTGAGCTCCAGACAGAGCGACTGGCCGAAGGACGCCAGCTCGGCCAGGCACTCCTTCTTGGTGCACGTGGAGGGGGCCTTCACCGCCATCGTCAACTGAGGCTGCATGGTCACTGCTGACAGGAGTTACGGGAGGCTGTTGCGAGGCGGTTTGGCACAAAACACTGCATGTCAAAGACAACCTTTGTTTTCGGGACCTTCGAGGTGTCTTTCGAGGTCTTCAATTTGGCTCTGGTTCTTTTGCAGCAGGAGCCAACCCAGAACCACATCCGGAAGGATCTCCAAAGTCTCACCCGTCTCGTCATCACTCTCCCCACCGTTGTAGCGCCACCAATCGTCATGCCACCACCCATGCCACGACGAGTGAGACTCACCCCGCTGTAATGCTGGGTCCAGGGATCCTCCTCCTCGGTGGCCTCGACTGCATCTGGGCTGCTCTCGTCGAGGCTTCCAGAAGCTGGTGGCTCGATGGCTGCGGGCCTTGGCTCCGGCCGTGAGGTCACTGACACTGGACCCACTGCTTCTGTGTCCATGGGGCTGCTTAAGCGTCCTGGTCAAGGCCCGGCAGGCCTTCTCGTATTCTTCCCTATGTCTCGAACACAACAGTTGGTCATGGTCTCGGCGCCTCGGCGGCGAAGATGCTTGCCAACGTCCGGAAGCACAGGCTTTGAAATAGTGTCATGGAGGTGTTGCAGGAAACGCTCAACCCCATCCTTTCGGGGGAGCCGATGGGCCTTCTTTTCAGCAATGGCAGTCGTTGCCGGGCCAGTGAGCTCGGCCGCTAGGCGAGGTCCGCAAAGGTAGCGATTCTCTCACTGGTCGTTTCCACGTGGGGTAGAGCGGTCCGCTCGTACTCTTGCCAAGTGATGGGATCGCCTGTCCAGGTAGGAACACCATCCTTGTTGCGAGTCACAGTCATCGTTGCACTTACACGACCCAAAAAGGATCCAACTGATGCAGCTGGACCCGGAGTCTGCGCAGTTTAAGATCCGTTCCCTGGAGCCAACCAGTGTCCAATCAGGATTCACTGGAAGGCTCCGCTACCATGCGGGACGTGCCTGCAGGTAGCCGAAGTGCAACTCCTCGATGTCCCCTTTCCCCTGAAGATGGCGTCAGGTCGAGACTACAAAAGGATAGTACCTCAGGGCCGGAACTGCCGCGGTGCACATATCAATGAGCACAGCTGACAGGCTTTCATGAAGCATCTCTGATACTTCTTGTAAGGGGTTTCGGGTTCAGGGTTTGGGGGTTAGGGTTTAGGGTACCCGACCTCACGGGCTTAGTGCGCGGTTTCATAAGTTTTTGGAATTCGACGGTCTCGATTCGAGTTCGTTCATATGGCTTTGGGAGGCTCTCGGGGATCACTGGTCGCTACAACCATGTACGGCTTAGGGTGTAGGATGTATAAAGGGCTTCTGGAACTCCAGTCAACTTAAGGTACTGATGCATGAGTGTAAGGCTTCGCAACGGAGGTGCCCAGCGCCAGGGCATGTCCAGTGCAGGTTGCAGGACAGGCAGGAGCTTGGGATTTGGACATGTAAGAAACATATGTCTTGATAGACACACACACACACAAAAACAAATGTATGCGGTATGAAGTACGGAATAGAATAGAACAAAATAGAACAATACAAGACAGCATCTTTGGGATGTAAATGGATGCAAACATCGGGACCCTCAGCCCTAAACCCTAAGGCGAAGGGTTAGAGTTTAGGGTTTAGGGTTTAGTTTTTTGTTTTCGGGTTTAGGGCTTAAGGTTTAGGGGGGGTTCGGGTTTAGGGTTTAAGGTTTAAGGCTTGGCGTTTCGGGACTCCGGGACCCGAAAGCCATAAGCCCTAAACCAAAAGACCTCGAATCCACAGGCGGCCTGGGGTGTTGTGTTCGTCTCCTGGAGCATCTCCACGACGATGTGCGCAAGCTCGCCCTGGGAAGACGTCGACGGCTTAGGGTCTAGGGCTTGTCAAACTAAGAAGTACTGGAAATGACCTCAGGTGGTAGCGACCGCGACAGTGAGTGATGCCCGTGCTGGCAATCATGTCAGGATGGTCAGCCGGTGGCAACAACAGTGGCGTATGATCGTCACCATCATCGTTACCAACAGAAGCCGCACAGTCATAGCCGTTCTCATCTGCATTTATGAAAAGCAACAGTCCATATGACAAGAGTTGGGATGATTACTAAAACCTAAACCCTACCCCTAAAGCCCTTATTGGTGGTCACAACCACGAACTCCGGATCCCACACCTCACGGCTGACAACCGAAGCCGGGTGTGGTAGTGTCTTCGGGTTTGAGATTTAGGGCTCATGCACTAAGGGGTCATATCTACAGACTTCAGCCTCTTTGGGTTCTCAGTTAAGACTTAAGGCTTAGGGTTTAGCATCTATAGGATCCCGATGGCTTGGAGGCTAGGGCTGCACGTCGCTGAACTAGGCTTATCACACAAAAAAGATCTGCCGTTGAAACCTGCTTTTTGAGTCCGCTCATGAAGCATCCTGGAGAACCGGCAGCATGCAGAGAACGTCCATCAAGATTGCAGCCGGAAAGACGGTCCAATGAGTCTGAAAACTTGAACCAGACAACTTTTCCAGAAAGTCCAGACAGCTGGTTCCTTCATCAAGACCCCTAGTCAGGCCTTCATGCGAACCTAAGTTCCTCCTTTATAAGGTCTGACGATCTCTACAGTTGACTGTACTTCTACTTGGTTCAAGGTGCATAGACCAAGCTACCGGCATATCAGGAAGGCTTGTGCAGAAAGTGAAGCTTTGTCTCTCGCCTTCTTGTCGCCACAGTTCAACTTGAAAGGAGCAATTCCGCGCACCGCATCGAAGACCTGTCGTAAGGTAAAGGCATCAGCAGGGGGCTTCGGTTTAATGCAGTTTAGGGCTTTTGGATTTAGGGTTTAGGGTTTAGGGGTTTAGGGCTTTAGGTTTAAGGGTGGTGGGCGTGTGGGGTCTTCGGAGCCATGCTGGATCTTCATTTTGGGGGCTGCCAAAAAGAGGCTTCGGGCGTGGTGTGCATGAGTGCTGCTAGCCCCGGGTAAACCTCAATCGCCACAGTGTCAGAGTGCAACATCTCAACATAATGTCCCTTCATAGTCCTGATACAAGTCAATAGTTTAACCCCCAAACTGCAAGCCCTAAATCCCGAAACCCTAAACCCCTAAAGCCCCCTAAACCCTAACCCTTATTATATATGAACCCCTACGAAAGCCCTATAAGCCCTCTCCTAATTGAGGCCGCGTCTTGCCTTCCACGGAAGTTTTCAGTATTGTCTTACGTTTGACCTCACGTCTGAACCCTTAAGACACTACTCATGATGGTCAAAATCCTGCATTACCTTAAGGACCCTAAACTATGGGAATGATGGTATATTCCTTATTATGGGTAGTGCAGGATTTTGATCATCCACCGTATTGAAGGTCTCGCTGCTTTCAGTTTGTGGTGGCGTTCGGCTTTTAGGGCTGCGCGGAGGGGTTGGGGCTTGCGGCTTGCCGGGGTGCCAGCGATGTTTCAGGTTTCGGGTTCTATGGTTTGGGAGTGGTTTTTGGGAAGGTTCTACTGTTCCTATATTGACTCCTATGATTGCTTTTTTTCTCAGACTCTAGAAACTTAAATCCGAAACTCTGCCTTGGTGATCGCGAAGCCCATCGGCCGGACTGCATCCAAAGACGACCACACCTGTAAGAAGAGCTATTACTACTATTAACTATTATTATTATTATTTGTACATTGTTAGTATTTTTATTATTATCATTAGTATTATTAGTATTATTATTATCATTATTATTATTATTATTAAGCCAATTCTCGATTTCGGGGTTATTATTAGGCCAATTCTCGATTTCGGGGTAAAAGGCAGCCTGGGGCTGGGGATTCGTGGTGTTTGGGGATTAACCGTAAACCTTATAGGTTTAACCCTATAAACGCTATAAATCCTGAACCCTAAACCCTAAACCCTAAGTTGGGGCTTAGGGCCATTGCAGGGTTTTAAAGTTTAGGGTCCTGGGCTTCTGGGTTTGGGTTAGGTAGTCTAGGGTTTACTGTGTAGGATGTGCGTGTCAACCTTTCTACTGTGCGCACAGGTACAACAAGCAGTACATGATACTATCTTTGTTAGCAGCAGTCGTTGCTGTCAAAACCTTTACTCAGGCCTGCAAGCATCTGCAAATCCCTGCAGAAGCACTCTCGCTGCAATAACGGCACTCATAGTCGCTTCGTCTCCCTAAACCCTAAACCCAGACAACCCAGACCCCTCGCATCTCCTAGCCCTCCCTCAGCAAAATGCACCGGCAGGCAGGGGTTTCAGGGTTCAGGGTCGAGCACTCCCCCAATAGGAGCACCGGAGCTGTTTCGAACCCTCGGTTCCCTTTGCGGGGCCAGAAATGAGGCTTGGGATACCATGGACTCGCTGCAAGGAGCCCACATGAGGACAGGAAGCCCGACTTAGTGCCCGTAAATCGGACTCAGGTTTAGGATTTAGGGTTTAGGGTTTAGGGGTCACGACTCAAACTTGGCAACAGTAGCAAAGGCAGTGTTTTTGCGTATGAAAACTCTTCGGTGTTTAGCGCTTGGTTCACGGCTGAGGCAATTAAGGGGCCTGATAGAGAGAGTAGGGCATGATGTCACAAATAGTTAACATGGGCCAAAAGTGGATACTATCCATGCAGGACGCCTGCAAAACCTCAAAAACGCCTGCGAAACCCGCCTCTAAACCCACCCTAAACCTGCCTCAAGCCCTCGACTCTGAACCCCGAAGCTCTAAACCCAAAGCCCTAAACCCGAAACCCGAAGCCCTTAAACCGGTTGAAAGCATGAACCTTACCTGTGGCCCAAAAGACCTACCTCCTTAAGGAACTATTTCTAGAAACCCTGACAAGGAACCCTAAGGGGCCTTAATATTATAACTTAAGGTTTATGACTTAAGGTATATTCCTTAGGTTATAAGGGGCCTTCATACTATGACTTAAGGTATATTCCTTAGGTTATAAGGGGCCCTTAATGTTACGACTTAAGGCACACTCCTGGGTCTTTTCGGCTTAATATAGGGGCTTTAATAATTAGAATAGGGTTTTGGGGTTCATTATACTATAGTTATAATAAGGAACCCCCCAAAAACCTATTCTAATTATTAAGGCCCCTATATCAGGCCCCGGGGAGCCCGGCGCGCTGCACGGCGCCATCGAAGGAGGGCACCGCTGCTGCAGATTCCTTGCGACACGGGCTGGCTTAGGGGTAGTTCTCTAAATTAGGGTCCCTTTTAGGGTCCTTTTTGGGCTGGCTTTCGTTTCAAAGGGCGGACCCTACACCCTAAACCCTAGACCCTTAGACCCTAAACCCTAGACCCTAAACCCTAAACTCTGAACCCTAGACCCTAAACCCTAAACTCTGAACCCTAGCCCTAAACCCCGGACTCAAGACCCTAAACCCCCTAGAACCCAAACCCTAAACCCTAAATTTTGGGCTAATGGTGGTAAGAGGAGGGTGATACGGTTAATGATCAAAATCCTGCATCACCCATAATAAGGAATATACC